GATGTTTCTAACTCTCTGTCCCTCTCCCTTCCTCTCTGTAAAAAATCAATAAAATATATTAAAAAAAAATCATTATATCTTTACGAGGGGCCCAGTGCATGAATTCGTGCACCTTGAAAGAAACTGGGCCGCAAGGCTACGGTGGGCACAGGGGCGGGTCTCGGCCTATTATCCGAGCCCCTACCCAGCCCCTCCCGTCACAGCCTCTGGTCCCCTGTCTGCCAGCAGCCCTGCTCCCATGCGCTGATGGCGCCGGCTCCACTCATGCCCGCTGATGGTCCCGAGCGATCGGGACCAATGCTGGGTGCCAGCAGTGGATGTGAGCGGCAGCTCTAGTGACAGCTGCGGGTGCAAGCGGGGCCGGCGACAGCAGCAGGTGTGAGCGGCAGCTGCCAACACTGATCGCCCCTCAGGAGCAGGGGGAGGTGGAGAAGCCTGCTGATGGCGCCAAGCGATCAGGGCCAGTGCTGGGCACCGGCAGCGAATGTGAGTGGGGCCAACACTGGCAGCAGGTGCGAACGTTGGGCAGGACCGCAGTCTATGGGAGCAAAGAATTTTCAGTAACCACCAGAGGCTCACCCCGATGACAGCGACCAGTGCCCCACCTTGGTCTGGCGCCCCCGCTCACCTGCTCCACCATTCCACTGCTGCCGACGCCTGCCATGGTCCGTGCACCCCCTGGTGGTCAGCACACATTATAGCAACCAATTGTTTGGTTGTTCGTTTGTTCTGCGGTTCGGTCTATTTGCATATTAGAGTTTTATATAGAGAGATAGATGTGGAATAAAAAGAGGGTGATTTTCTTACAAATGGACACACTATTAAATGATCATTCTCCTATAGTGTATTAGTATTTTTACAGTACTAACGAGGCAGAATTCCCCAGTCTTCATCAACTCTAAGATCACGCTTTATATTGGATTGCTTTCACAAAGTACCATTGAAATGTTTGTTTTAAAGAACAATTAAACTTTACTCTTTACATAGTTATTGGTGATTTAATCTGGTATAGTTTTGTTTTGATTCACACTTAATGAACCAATTAACAGCAAAACATCAATAGAAAAATGTTAGTACTCTTCTAACAAATTACTTTAAATATTCAAGTATTTTATGAAAGATGACTATATAGCATTGAAACAAAATAAATCTGTTAGGCTTTTAAGAATGTCCGCTAAGTATTGATTCAGGGCCATTTAATTGTTGTCTTAATCTAATTAACCACTCATTTGTGTCTTGGCCTCTACCCAGGAAGTTGGCCTGAGAGTGAATGGGTATGGGGTTTCTTTTTGGGGTGATGAAAATATTTTGGAATTTCTAGTGGTAATGGTCGTACAATTTTGTTATCATACTAAAAGCCACTGAATTATATACTTTATTTATTTATATATTTTTTATTTTTAAATATGTTTTTATTGATTTCAGAGGGAGAAAGAGATAGAAACATCAATGATGAGAGAGAATCATTGATTGGCTGCCTCCTGCACGCCCCCTACTGGGGATCAAGCCCACAATCCAGGCATGTGCCCTTGACCAGAATCGAACTTGGGACCCTTCAGTCCGCAGGCTGATGCTCTATCCACTGAGCCAAACCAGCTAGGGCTGAATTATATACTTTAAACGCCACTGAATTGTGTGTAAAAAAAAAAATTCATATACTGAATTTTATGGTATGTGAATGATATAGTGAAAAAAAATAGTTGAAATCTTAAAAAATCATTTCTGCTTTGTCAGAATCCATATGGTTAGATTAATGTGTGTAATAACTTCATTCTACAAATCTTCAAAATATGAAATAGCTAAAGTTTGCTTTAAAGTTTCAGGTGATAACTAGAAATTATGCTTTGGTACATTATCTAAACTATTTTCTGTAAATGTCATTAAATATAGATATAAGTTTGAAATTAATGATAGCTAAAGTGATTTTAATAATTGTCATGTGCTTGGTGTAATCTTCAGGAGAATAGCTAAAGTTTTAGATTAGTATTACACCATATATTTTCTTAAGCTTTTCTTGGACAAATGATATAATTTTGTAATTAGAACTAAATGAAAATAGCCTGGCTTGTTGTTGTTGTTATCTTTATTAGGTTAGTGGAACCTAATAATTCTTTGAAACTATGAGCTGATATGGGGGGACTCAGTATAAACTTTGTGTTTAAATGACATAAAAATTAGGGCTTTTCTTTTAAATGTTAATTCAGCTGTTAACTAAGGAACTATATTTGAAATCAAATACTTTAATTAAAAGATATTTATAAAATGTCCACAGCTTCCATGAGCTGCTTGTAACAGCTGGCACACCCACATTTGTCATATCACATGTGGTATGAGTTTCATGTCTGCTACTTTTATCTCTTGATCCATCGTTTCTTTAAAGAAAAAGGCCACAGCTGACCATATAGAAGAAAAAGCTTCCTCAAGGACAATCTAGTAATATTTATTAGCAGTGATCTGAGTAAATTGTAACATTGATAATTTATAAATACACATATACAACCACTGTAAGCCAAATGTTAAAGATAGCAAAGAAACATATTTGGTTCAACACTCAACAGTTAAGTTGTTAACAAGTGTTTAAATCTATATGAAGAAAGAACTTCAAAATTAAAGTTGAATCTATGGGACTTTTTTTTCTTCTTCAACTTAGACTAACTAATAAAAATTTATTTTCTCATTCTGATTATACAGCTCTCTAAACATCATATATCAATTAAGTTTTCCAAAACATTTATTAGAAAATTAAGAAGTTGGTTTTCTGTCCCAGTGACTGCTAACAGGTATGATTGGGGCTATGTCTAAAGTTCTCTATTTACTGCATGTCATTGTTTCTGGTAATGAGCTGGTAGAGGCAGTGAGACTGTATGTAATAAACATATTACTTGCTATATGCTTATTGATGTTAAGCACAAAGGTAGGTACAGTCGCTGCCCTCAAAGAGCTGTTCCCTTTTTTAAATTCAGATTCCCCTTTATTTATTTATTTTTAATATATTTTATTGATTTTTTACAGAGAGAAAGGGAGAGGGATAGAGAGTTAGGAACATCGATGAGAGAAACATCGACCAGCTGTTTTTGTCCTGAGTTCTTTGTATCCTTTCCTGTATATTATGACTTGTTTAACGGGAAGCTGCTTGGAAGTTATCCTTATAAGAACTTGATCCAGAAGAATTCTGATCACACCATTTCCAGATCATCTTAAATGTATCTCAGTTTTTAAAGTTTTATTGAGGTGTAATTGAAATACAAAAGCCGCACCTATTTAATGGACCTATTTGATGGGTTCAAACATATACAGAGGTGTATACCTGTGATACCATTATTATAATCAAAGTATTAATCTTGTATCATTTTGTGCGTGTTAAGAACACTTAACTATGAGATCTACCTTCTTATGAAAATTTTAAGAGCGCAATACAGCATTTTCCACAATAGTTAAGATAAGGGAACAACCCATATATTCATCAACAGACAAATGGATAAAAAAAAATGTGTTATGTACATATAATGTAATATTATTCAGCTTTAAAAAAGAAGAAAGTCCTACCATTTGTGACATTATTCCAAGTGAAATAAGTCAGTCTCAGAAGGACAAATACTACATGATCCCACTTAAATGAGGTATTTAAAGTTATAAACTTACAAAACAGAAAACAGAATGGTGGTTGCCAAGGCATGGGGGCAGGGGAAAATTGAGGGTTGCTCAGTGGGTATAAAGTTACAGTTATACAAAATGAATGTGCTCTGGAGATCTGCTGTATAACATGGTGCCTATAGTTAACATTAATGACTATCTTATTTAGCCATTAATGGCTTTGGAAGCTGAGGTGAATGCTCCATCAAAGAAACTAATATAATTCAAAGTTTTGCTAAAAAGGTTTATTTTTTTCACCTCCCTTTATTTATGATACTTTTTTTTTTTTGCTTGCTTTTTTCTGACATGCCATGTACAGCTGTTAGTGTAGGTAGCTAGTTATTAATAAAAGAAGGGGCGGGTAGAAGCGGACATTAAGCCTGATTATCTAGGGAGCTGAATCAGACATTAAATCTGATTAACTAGGAAGCTGTAGCATTTACAGACCCCCCCAAGGGATAGCCGCATCCTCCACCAAATGGATGCTAATCCCTAAGCAGGCAGGAAGAACAGAGAATTGGCTTTCCAATATCCTCAGGGGACAGCGACCTGTTAGCTGGGATTATGGCGTGTGTGTGTGTGTGTGTGTGTGTGTGTGTAAAACAGTAGGGGAAATTTCTTTGCTGAACACATGGGCGGTGAGAGCGAAGATGGCACAGAGGAAGGTAAGTACTTGTGCAGTAGAAACCAGATGTTAAGACAAAGTTAGGGCATGTGCATTAGGAGCAAAAATGGTGACATAAAGGGGAGGAGTCTAGCCTGGGAAAATTGGGGAAAGGATCAGATAGGATGAGGGCATGGGACCCTAAAAGATCCAAGAAAGGGATTGGTTAGGGGGAGGGCCCAGCATAAGCCCACAAAGAATTAAGAAGAAGATTGGTTAGTTTGAAAGAAAGCTTATCCTTTTCCAAACCCAAGGAGATGTAATCAAAACTTTAAAAAGGCTCATTTATTCGTGCTTCCCACCTCCCATCCCCACCCTCCCTCATAGCAGCTCTGTGGGCTGAAGTGCAGCACCTGGGAATAAATACTATGCTAGACTACTAGAGCCTATGCCATGATGGTGAACCTATGACACGCGAACTCATTTTTTTGGTTGATTTTTCTTTGTTAAATGGCATTTAAATATATAAAATAAATATCAAAAATACAAATCTTTGTTTTACTATGGTTGCAAATATCAAAAAACTTCTATATGTGACATGGCACCAGAGTTAAGTTAGGGTTTTTCAAAATGCTGACACACCGAGCTCAAAAGGTTCGCCATCACTGATAGTGATGTTTTTACAGTTCCATATCCTTACCTTCCTGGTGGGCACTTGTGCTTAATAGGCCTGGACTTCTTCCACAGCAGAGGTAGTTGAGCCACTTGGTTATGGATAAGACATTGGTCACCTGGGGACAGTCCATTGTTTCCATTCCAATAAACCTCGCCACTATTGCTCACATCCTCCTGTGTGTGAGTTCCTGAAATGCTTTTCTCTGACTCTGTGGAAGAATCCTATTTCACTGGCAGCACATCCTTGTTCGTATTTAATTTAGATTATAAATCTGCTATACTACACATGCCCTCAGTGCTTGTGATGCCGAGGGGCACCAGGGAAGGCCAAGGGAGGCCTTGATCTGATATTGATACTAGAGCCCAGGGTCTTGTCACCACATAAGAAAGGGTTCAAGAGCGAGATGGAAAACTTTAGGAAAGCACAATAGATTTATTAAAGTGAAAGTATCCACTTAAGAAGTGAGAGAGGGCGGCCTCAGAGAATGAGACTTCCCCGATGGGGACTGGGTGGAAGGTTTTTATTAAATGTAGGCAAGGAGGGGGAATAGGGTGCTCCTCGGCTTTTGACACTGGTAGGGTGACTGCTGACACAGCTTATCCTCATCCCTTCTCTCCAGATAGTGATTTCTTTTTTTTATTTTCCTAGAACTGTCATGGCAATTCTGGAAATGGAGTGGTCCTGGAACTGCAATGCAAATTGATTATAAAGATATTATAATGGCCCTGTTGATCACTTTTAGGTCAATATGGCAGTCTAATCTGGTTGAGATCAGTTTTTGTTTGTCTCAACTACAGGAAATTGGAGAAGGAGAAAGGAGGGGTATGCAGAGGGTAGGAGAACAGGTGGCTAGTAAAAGTTACATCTGCAATGTTCCAGCCAGGACAGAAAAGGGAGGAAGTATTCCCTCCCCTTTGTTCCCTATTCTAACTTTCCTGCCTCACTTATGTCCTTCATCATACTGAGTAATGGCTGCTTGGCAAATTCTAAGTATCCATTTTTCACTTTTTCTTTCATGAGTTGCTACAGCAGCATTCTTTCTAAATTGCTATTTTTGGCTCTTCATAAAAAGTCACATTTTAATTATAAATGATATGCAAAAGTAAAGCTGTAGATCTTCTTTGGACTTCTGATGCCATCATCTTTTATAAGAAAAAATGTATATATTATTTGAAATCAAAGACTTTAAATATACCTATCCCTCACCTTCTCCCTAAGATACCATTTTAGCTCAAGTATCACTGCCTGGGGGAATTGGCATTATACAGTGGTTATGCAATGCCTGCAGATTGTGTTCCTAATGCACAAGATAAAGCCATATGCCAAAAGCACTCCCTTTGTAGGGGTGTGGTTAGCCTACAATAAATGCATTCTGTGAACTCTCTCAAATGAAATTGCTGAACTTTCCATTCCAAAGTTGCTTAAATTCTTGGGAATTTGAGTTTTCCCTTTTTTTGTTTTAATTAATTAATTTTTTTATCTTTTTTTTCAATTACAGTTGATGTACAATATTAAATTAGTTTCAGGTTTACACCCCAGTGACTAGACATTATAAAATTTACTAAGTGATCATCTCAAAAAATCTCATACCCATCTGACACCATGCCTAGTTGTTAAAAATATTATTCCATAAGCTGTACTTTACACCCCCATAACTACTATAACTACTAATTTGTACTTCTAAATCCCTTCACCTTTTTCTTCCATTCCCCCATCCTTTTCCCATCTGGCAACCATCAAAATGTTCTCTGTATCTATGAATCTGTTTCCATTCCACTTGTTCATTTATTTATTGACATTTTATTGTTCATATTTTTAATCTTTTTTCTTCTTCTTTTTCTTAAAAGAAGACCCATTAACATTTCATGTAATACTGGTTTGATGTTGATGAACTTCTTTAGATATTTCTTATCTGGGAAGCTTTTTATCTGACCTTCACTTCTAAATGATAGCTTTGCTGGATAGAGTAATCTTGGTTGTAGGTCCTTGCTTTTCATCACTTTGACTATTTCTTGCCACTCCTTTCTGGCCTGCAAAGTTTCTGTTGAGAAATCAGCTGATAGTCATTTGGGCGCTCCCTTTAGGAAACTAACTGCTTTTCTCTTGCTGCTTTTAAGATTCTCTCTTTGTCTTTAAACTTTGGCATTTAATTATGATGTGTCTTGGTGTGGACCTCTTTGGGTTCCTCTTATTTGGGACTTTCTGCGCTTCCTGGATTTTTATATCTAGTTCTTTCATTGGGTAAGGGAAGTTTCTTTTCATTTTTTCAAATAAGTTTTCAATTTCTTGCTCCCTCCCATCTCCTCTGGAACCCCCATGATGTGAATGTTGGTACACTTGAAATTGTCCTGGAGGCTTCTTACATTATCTCCATATTTTTGGATTATTTTTTCTTTTTGCTGTTCTGATTGGGTGTTTTTGCTTCCTCATATCCCAAATCACTGATTTGATTCTCAGTGTCCTCTACTCTACCATTGATTCCCTGTAAATTATTCTTCATTTCAGTTAGTGAGTTCTTCATTTCTGACTGTTTTTTTTTTTTTTTTATGGTTCCTAAGTCCTTCTTCATGCTGTTGAAGTCCTCGCTAAGTTCCTTGAAGTTCTCAGTAAGTTCCTTGAGAATCCTTATGACCATTGTCTTGAACTCTGCATCTGGTAGTTTACTTCTATTTCATTTAGATTTTTTTTTTCCTGGAGATTTCTCCTGTTCTTTCATTTGTTACATGTTTCTCTGCCTCTGCATTTTGGCTGCTTCCCTGTGTTGGTTTCTATGTATTATGTAAAACTGCCATGTCTCCTGGAATTGGTAGAGTGGCCTTGTGTAGTAGGTGTCCTGTAGGGCCCAGTGGCCCAGCCTCCCTGGTCACCTGAGCTGGGCACTTCCAGGTATGTTCTTGTGTGGTCTGTGTGCACTGTCCTGTTGTAGTTGAGTCTTGATTGCTCTTGGTGTCACTGTGAAGGATTGATCCCCAGACCAATTGGCTGTGAGGACCAGTTGCAACTACAGCAAAAGAGCTGCTATGCAGGTGTTGACCCTATGGAACAGAACTTACTTCAGTGCAACTTTGGTGCTCACTGAGTGTGCCCCTGGAGTGTGTCACTCTTGGAGGTAGTTGGGTTGTAATCTAGCATGGCCTGAAGCTGTCTATTGGGTACACAAGTTCTGGGGCCTCCCAGAAGGTGCAAAGTTGGCCACTGCCTGTGCCCTGCCTGGGGCCACCTGACATGAGCTACTGAGCGATCTGCAGATGGCTGCTACTTGGAGGTGACCAGGAGATGCTAAGCTGTGAACCAAGGTGCTGCTAGGGCCAAGCCTGGGGCCATTTAGCGAGAGGTACAGAGTACGCTGAGGCCAGCTGCTGCTTGTTTGAGAGACTTCAAGAAAGTCCAAAGCATGAACCGAGAGAGGTGTATGAAAAAGCCACTGGAAATGGCTCATGCCCCAGTGTGGGGCAGGCAGGAGGCGGCCAATCAATGATTCTCTCTCATCATTGATGTTTCTATCTCTCTCTCTCTCCCTTCCTCTCAGAAATCAATAAAAATATATTTAAACTAGAGGCCCAATGCACGAAATTTGTGCAAGAGTAGGCCTTCCTTCTCCCAGATGCCGGTGCTGGCTTCCCTCTGGCAACCAGGACCTGGGCTTTCCTCCTAGCCCCAGCTTCATCTGGAAGGTCGTCTGGTCTAATTAGCACATTACACTTTTATTATTATAGACTAGAGGCCTGGTGCATGAAATTCGTGCACTTGGGGGGGGTGTTTGGAAGGGGGTTTGTCCCTCAGCCAAGTTTGCACCCTCTCCAATCTGGGACATCCTTCTCACAATCCAGGACTGCTGGTTTCCAACCACTTGCCTGCCTGCCTGCCTGCCTGATTGCCCCTAATCGCCTGCTGGCCCGTCACCCCTAACTGCCCTCCCCTGCCGGCCTTGTCGCCCCCAACTGCCCTCCCCTGCCAGCCATCTTGTGGCTGTGGGTGCCGCCATCTTTGAGGGCATGACAGTAAATTAGCATATCCTCTCTTTATTGGCTGTGGGCGCAACCATCTTTGAGGGTGGGGCAGTCAATTAGCATATTCCCTCTGTATTAGATAGGATGAACACTTCAGAGAATTGAGGCTCAGAGAGATTTTCAGGTGAACTGGATTTCATTTGTTTAGATTAGGAGAAATGAGTCTGACTTCAGCTTAATACCCCCAAATAATAATTAACTCTGGTTTGTGATGTCTTCTATATACTACACAACTTCTGCTTTGACACCACAGAGGAAGAGTATCTTGATAAAACTATGCCAATTTTGGCTTGGAAAGACAGATTTAGACAGTATTTTATATTAACTGAAATCCTTTTTATATTTCTGAAACTTGGTTGAGAAGCTGAGCTAAATCTGCAATGCTTAATAAGCTTAGCTCCTTCACTATAGCCTGCCCTGCCCATTTTTTTGTATACTTAAGATATTAAAGACTTCAATAAATATACAATAGCCAGTTGATTATAAACTTTGACTATATTTATGAAAACATTACAACACTTTGTTTGGAAGAGCACTCGGTACATGCATTCATTACCTTCTGAGAGGATTTGCTGAGTCACTTGATTCTGTTTGTGATCCTTCAGGACATTTAGAGAACTTAAACATTATTTCTATGAAGTACCTCAAAGCTATAATTGTGTTCCACAAGCACATTTTTTGACTCCTACATTCAAATCTTAATTTCCACTCATGAACTCTTCTAACATTTTATACCTATTTACCCAAGACAAGTCAGATTTGTGAGAATCAGGTAATCTCTCCCATTTATTTTTCTCCCAAGAGCTGTTAGTATTTGATTGCAGTTTTATATTAATAACCATGCTAGTTATTTTTAAATTTTTAATTTAATTTTAGTTTTTCTATCACCTTTTATCCCCTCTGTGCCCTTTTCCACCTCCACCCATCCCCCACACACACATTTTTCTAATCATTTGACCTGTTGATATTGTACATTTGTTATTGCAGATCAAAGATAATGCTAAAGAGCATACGTATTTCACCCTTTTTAGAAGCCCTTGCTATAATGGAAGGCCCTCAGAATAAAGAGTTTCTGGAAGTTATAATAGCTAACACTGACTGCTGTGTGCCAGGCAGTGTTCTGAGTGCTTCACATGTACTCATTCATGTTGTCCTCACAAAAACCATTTGGTACTATAATTGTCCTTATGAGGAAATGGGAGTACAGAGAATTTAACTGACTTGTCCAAGTGGCAAAGCAAGCAATCTGACTCTAGAGTCTGTGCTCCTAATCATTAAGCTATAGTCCGCTCCCAGAATAGTAACAGAAAGAAGGTGGGAAAGGGGTGGGGATGGGAGCAATCTAAGCAAAGTTTGGCCTTTGAAAATGGCATTTAATTAAACAGGTATTACTATCATTCTTGGCAGTTATGTGAATTTTGTACTTCTTCAAAGAAAATCTATTTTATTCTTCCAGGATATGTGGGTAATGTTTTTCCTTTTGCATTATACATATTAAATCTTACATGGATGTTTTGATTCGTTTCTATGAAATTTCTATTGTTCTTCATAGCAATCTCTTTTCTATAAGATCTAAAATATATCTTACATGTTTATACCTGTTCAAAAACAATTTTGATAATGTATCTTTGTTACTACAGCACCAAAGAGATCTTTCCCATAGTGCTGTGCCTTCCCAGCTATAGGTGGAGCAAGAAAAGAAAAAGTTCCATTTAAAATTAATATTTCTAAATATAGCAAGAAATCAAAGATGTTCCTTCTATTTTTCCTTAACTGTGGACATTTTAGAAGATATAAAAACCTCTTTTGCATCAAAATTGACAAGATCAGGTCTAATCTGTTGCTAAATTATAATCCACCAATACCCTAATGGAGGTAAGCAAAACTAAAAAATTGATGCTGAAATAACTCTAATTAGTCTGTGCCTTAAGTTAAAGCAAGGAAAAGAAACAATTATGCTGCTATTATATCTAAAGTAGTTTTTTAAATTATAGTTTAATCTGTGAAAGGTATTCATTATTTGTATATGCGAAAGTTCATTATTCAAATATAACCATAGGGCAGAAAATCTCTAGGAAGAGTAATATGCCCAGGTCAGTGTGACTCAGGTGGTTGAGCATCATCCCATGTACTGAGAGGTCACAGGTTCGATTCCCAGTCAGGGTACATGCCCAGGTTTTGGTTTGGATCCCCAGTAGGGAGTGTACAGGAGGCAGCCAATTGATGTTTTGGTTTGGATCCCCAGTAGGGGAGTGTACAGGAGGCAGCCAATTGATGTTTCTCATTGATGTTTCTCTCTCTCTCTCTCCTTCTCTCTTTCTCTCTCTCTCCCTGTAAAACCAATAAGAACATATAAAAATGTAACTAGGACACCCTATAGTAAGAGTCACAAAATGAAAATAAGACTTCTAATCTGAAGGTAAAGTTAAAGTGATATTGGATTCCTTTCTAATCTTAATTCCTTAAATGAGAAGGTTTGCATTCTGCCTACATCACCCTTACTCCCCATCATAATATCCTTAAAATGAACAGGAGGCTAATTTTCCTGGGAAGATATTAAAGACTTCAATAAATATACAATAGCCAGTTGATTATAAGCTTTGACTATCTGTATTGCCAGGGATACAGGTTTCATGAGTGAGAGTCAATTTCACAAAAGGCTGCCTCCTTTGGCCCTGGCTGGTTTCGCTCAGTGGATAGAATGTCAGCCTCTGGACCGAAGGGTCCTGGGTTCAATTCCAGTCAAGGGCACATGCCCGGGGTTGTGGGCTTGATCCCCTGTAGGGAGCATGTGGGAGGCAGCCAATCAGTGATTCTCTCTCATCATTGATGTTTCTATCTCTCCTCCCTTCCTCTCTGAAATCAATAAAAAATATATTAAAAAAGAAAAAAGACTGCCTCCTTTGATCCTGGGAAGCTTAAGGATGAAGAGTAAATGGTTATAATTTCTGCCTCTTTCCCCAAAAGTGAGTTTGGAGACTAAATTCTTAAGTTAAACCAACCTTTTCAAGCTTCAAATTCTTGTCCTCCCCTCTTTCCCTTGGACACTGTTTACTGGTGTTCTAGGTGTTAGAAATACAAAGATCAGTCAGACTTGGCTCTGCCCTCAAGCAGTTTCCAACTTCGGCAGAGTGTGTTAGGCTCAGTAGTGGAGGGAAATATAGGACTTCGTGGGGCTCACAGAGTAAGAACATCTAACCAGACTGTGGGAAAGGAGGCCATAAAGAAAAGACTCACAGAAGTAACCCAAGTTGAAGGCAGATGAGTAGGAGTTAGCTAGTTGAGGAATGGCAATCCAGGCAAAGTAATCAGTGTGTCTGAAGGCATTGTGGATGAAGCAAAAGGCACACTGTGGAAGTTGACAGTAATTTATATGAGGGGGCAGATAATTAAAGATTTTGTGAGCTTTGAGAATAATATTCCAAGTCCTTAAATTTGAGTCAATATTTAGTAATTCAAAGCAAGTAAGTTGCATGCAAATTTATGTATTAGACAACTTATTCTGTCAATACATACAACTTTTTCTGTGGAAAAAGACTTGCAGGAAGCTCAATGGAAAGAAAATGCTCTGTTAGAAGGCTCCAGGATGACCCAGGCCAGGAGGGGAGTCATCTTGAAATAAAGCAGAGGCAATGGAATAAAGAATAATATAAGAAGGAGATTAAAATGGACATAGTAGGAATAAGTGAAGTTGGTGCTTCAGTTGTCCATTGTCCTAAATTTTATTGACATACCAACAAGGTTACAGAATATAAGATCAATATAATGGTAGGAATAAGTGAAGTTGGTGCTTCAGTTGTCCGTTGTCCATTATCCTAAATTTTATTGGCATACCAACAAGGTTACAGAATATAAGATCAATATAATACAATAGCAATGAGAAAATTGAAAATGAAATTTAAAAAAACTTCCATTTACAATAGCACCAAAAAGAATAAAGTACTTAGAAATAAATTTAACAAAAAGTAGTTTTATACTCTGAAGGCTATAAAACATTGTTGAAAGAAATTAAAGAAAACCTAGATAAAGGGGAAAGTATCCCATGTTAATGGTTTGGAACACATTGTTAAGATAGAAGTACTTCTGAAATTGATCTACATAGTCAATGCAATCGCTATCAAAATCCCAGCTGCCTTGCAGAAATGGATAAGCTGACCCTAAAATTCATATGGAAATGCAAAGGTATTAGAAGAGTCAAAAAATCTTAAAAATGAAGAACAAAATTGGAGGACTCACACTTTGTGACTTCAAAATTTGCTATAAAGCTACAGTAATCTGGACAAGTAGTACTGGCTTATGAATAGATGTATAGATCAATGGAATGGAATTGAGGTTCTCAGGGGAAAAAACCCATAGATTTATAGCCCATTGATTTTCCACAAAAACAAATGGGAAGAGGATAATTTTTTTCAAGAAATGATCCTTATCCACATGCAAAAGAATGAATCTGAACTGCTCACATCATCCACAAAAATTAACTTAAAATGAACCAAAGACTTAAATATAAGAGCAAAAACTATAAAACTTAGGAGAAAACATAGGTATAATTGGATTAGTCAATATTTTGTTCCATATGACACCAAAGGCACAAACAACAAAAGAAAAAATCAGACAACTTCGACTTTATCAAAATAAAAAACTTTTGTGCTTCAAGGGCTACCATCAAAAAAGTGAAAAGACAACCCACTGAATGGGAGAAAATTTTTGTAAACCATATATCTGATAAGAAACATATCTAGAATACATTTTTAAAACTATTATAACTCAATAATTAAAAGTCCCAATTGAAAGATGGGCAAAGAATCTAGAATAGACAGTTCTCCAAAGAAGATATACAGGACAGATAAGCACATAAAAAGTTGCTGAACATCATTAGTCGTCAGAGAAATGCAAATCAAATTCACAATGAAATATCACTTCAAACTAACCATGATGAAAAAAGACAGATAATTACAAGTGTTGGCAATGATGTGGAGAAATTGGAACACTCATATACTACTGGTGGGAATAGAAAGTGGTGCAACCACTTTGGAACACAGTCTGATAGTTCTGCAACAGTGAAACAGTTACCATATGATCTTAAATTCTGCTCCTAGGTATCCAAGAGAAATGAAAACATATGTCCTTAAAAAACTTGTACATGAATGCCCATATAAGCATAATTCATAATGTTAGGGGCAGAAATAGCATATTGGGGACCAGATAGAATTGTAAGAAATATAAATCATGCTCTGTTAACCATGAGTGTTTTATCCTAATTAAAGAAGACACATTCTAACCTGGCTGGGAGCTCACCTGGAAATGCAGCCCATCCTCCCCATGAGAGCTGCCTATTATCATGGAAAGATTAACAACTTCGTTGCAGAAACTAGAATCACCAGCCCTTTGAAGACTCCCAGCCCTTTACATATCACTAAGCCCTTTGAAGATCCCTAGCCTGTATTACCTGTTAACTGTCCATTTGGCATACCCTTTTACCTACTTCCCCATGTAATCTTTGTCCTTCTACCCACTATAAGCAGCTGGCTTATGGAAAGAGGAGAGTAGATTTTTATGGATGACCTGCTGCTCTCCCATACTGCCGGTAGTATTGGAATAAATGCTCATATGTGATTCAACCCTGTCTCTGCTTAATTGGCTCAAGTAGTGACAGACAGCATGGACCCATTTTCTGGTTACAATAATAGCCCAAAAGTGCCTATGGATAATGTTTGTTTCAACCCTTCCAATTCATATGTTGAAATCATAACCCCTAGAGTGATGATATTAGGAGTTGGGGGCCTTTGGGAGGTGATTAGGTCATAAGGGTGGAGTCATGATGGATGTAATTAATGACTTAATAAAAGAGACCCTAGAGAACTCTCTTGCCCCTTCTGATACGTGAGGATATAGTAAGAAGACAGCCACCTCTGACCCGGAAAGTGGGCTGGCACCAGATACCAAATCTGCCAGGATCCGAAACTGTGAGATACAAATATTTGTTGTTTAAGCCACCTACCTATTCTATGGTATTTTTTTGTATTGGCCTGAATGGCCTAAGACAAAGGATAAACAACCCAAATGTCCACCAACTGATAAATGGATCAACAATGGTATCATAAATGCAGTGTATACATACAATGAGACATCATTTGATAATACAAAGGAATGAAGTATTGATATATGCTGCAACATGGATGAACCTTGAAAACATGTTAAATGAGTGAAGCCAGTCACAAATGACCACATTGTATGATCCCATTTATATGAAACGTCCAGAACAAGAATATCAATGGAGACAGAAAATCTATTATTGGTTGCCTGGGGGTGAGGTGAGAAGATTGGGAAGTGGCAGTTAAGGGGAATAAGAGAGATAACCTAAATTTGATTATGGTGATGGTCACATAACTCTACAGATATACTAAAAGCCGTTGAATTTTACACTTTAAGTGGATGAATAGCTCGATGAAGCTGTAAAAAAAACCAAAACGTAGTGAAGTAAAAAAAAAAAACCTAGTGAAGTAAAAAAAACAACTGTTTTATTACGCTCACAATTTTTGGAGTCAGGAATGTGGGCAGGGCACACAGCAGGAACAGTTCCTAGCTACTCCCCATGACTGGATCCTAAGCTGGAGTGACTTGACTGGCTAGAATTGTCTGGTATGGCTCAACTCAGGTCACAGGCATTGGTATGCTGGAACCAGCTTGTACCAACTTCTGGGAAAGCCAACTGTGCACAGCCCAACTCCACCATCAGTGGCATGACCTGGTAGCTGTAATTGGTCATGGTGGGAGTATTTACACCACACAAATTGGAAGATCAAGATTTCCCGATTGGAGTGTTAAAGCAAAGTACAAAGAAAAAAACCCACACTGATTTCAGAAGCCTCTCTAAAAAATGCCTGTAGT